CATGCATATATATATATATATATATATATATATATATATACACACATAAATACAGTATATACATATTTATGTACGTATGCATGTATTTACTTATGTATTCATGTATTTATTTATTCAATAACAGATTTTTTTTTAGGTATTTTTAAGGTCAGTATGCAGTTATGTAAAGATACACTGTTGCATCTCTCCTCTGCTTCACATGTGAGTGCATAGCTTATATATATATATATATACACACATAAATACAGTATATACATATTTATGTACGTATGCATGTATTTACTTATGTATTCATGTATTTATTTATTCAATAACAGATTTTTTTTTAGGTATTTTTAAGGTCAGTATGCAGTTATGTAAAGATACACTGTTGCATCTCTCCTCTGCTTCACATGTGAGTGCATAGCTGCCACCTTGTGGTGTGTTGTCAGTACTGCAGTTTAGAATGGCGGAAGTATTTCTATAGGAACATCAGCAATTAGATGTTGATTTTGGTCACCGGGGTTTCTGTGTAGTGTTGGATGATTTAGGTTGAATCTGCAATAACATCTGTGTCTATCAATGGAAGTTATATCATATTTGGTCTGTATACCTAAAGTGCATGAGGAGTATACAGAATGCATAGCTTGGCTTGCTTCTTTGTCATCCTATTGGGATTTCTGTTGGAAACTGCTTCGTCCCCCTAAGCTCATGTGTTATATAGAAATAATTTGTTATAATGATTTTTGGATTGTTCTAGTAAGCTTCTCATCCCTAGAACTGTGTGAGTGACAAAGAGACATCCGCAATTTACCACCAGGATAAACAGGGATTTTTATTCAAGCAGAGGTCAGACTTTGAAGCACAAGGTATGGCCGATATTACTAATGATTCTTAGATGCCACTCTTTTTTACTAGAAATGGCAACTCAACCTCAAATTATTATGCTTTGTTGGTGGAAGGATTCATTCAGATAAATAATTTGACTGCCATTGGTGGGGTCAGCGTTAGCATTAGGATAAGCTGAACTTGATCCACTTTCGTCTTTGTCAGTCTTATGTACTATGTTACTATTTTCACACCTAGTATAGCTCACATTTCTTTTCAGGCTGTCTTTCAATGATTAGATTCTGTCTGCTGCACAACAAAATATTTTAATTTCTAAAAATGAACATGGTAGGTTCCTTTTCTAATACATACAAGGATGAAAGCTTCAAGGGGACGACCTTCATGGAGTGACAATTAGAGCTGCAGCTAACAATTATTTTCAAAATCGATTAGTTAGGCGATTATTAAGTTCGATTAATCGGTTAATCAGATATAATGGCCGATTAATCGATGATTGAAAAAGTTGACAACTTTTTCAATAATCCATTATAATCGATCATGTCGATTAGTTGTTGCAGCCCTAGTGACAATTAAAGGGATCCTATAGTGAACTATTACAGAGCCTCCTATTGCTGATCTCTTCTTCTGAAAAAGTTAGTTGCCTGGCTGTCATACTGATCTAATGGTTTCAATACATGACATGGCCAGGAGCAAGAGCACAGACTAGAAACATAAAGTTCAATAAGATTTTGTAATCGGCCTGATTGAACCAGGTCAGTGACTCAAAAGGACTGAAAGCAGAGACAGCAAGGAAAGTGATATTCTTATAAGGAGGTCAGCAATGACAACCCTGCATATCTGTCTATATCTAGTATCCATCCATCTTTAGTCTATCTATCTATCTATCTATCTATCTATCTATCTATCTATCTATCTATCTATCTATCTATCTATCTATCTATCTATCTATCTATCTATCTATCTATCTATCTATCTTAGTATCTATCTATCTCTCAGTCTTATATTTCCTCTCTTACATAATTTCAGAGCAGCTAGAACGGGTTGATAAAGGTCTGGAGCAGATTAATCAGGATATGAGGGAAGCGGAGAAGAACCTGACTGATATGGGGAAATGTTGTGGACTCTGCTCTTGTGACAGGTGGGTGTTTGTATTCAGGACTTACCATGGGTGTGTTCTGACTTGTGAGCATCACTAAGCATTATTATCACATCCCAACTGACCGCACATCATAACCCCAACGTGATTTCAGAAAAACTTTATTTGGAAAAAAAACAATCATTTTATGGCCCCAGCAGCTTTAACATGTGGAAGACTACTCACCGAGTGTGCGCCCAAAAGACTAATCCGTCCCAGAAAAATAAATACTAATCTGAGTGTTAATACACATAATTCTCAGTTTACAAAGCTTCAATCCAAGAATAAGAATCTATATTTTAGCGATGTGATTGTGATTTTCAAATCCAATTGGACACAGCTAAAAATAACTGTCACTTTAAAAAAAAAAAAATCCTTCTCCTGGTTTGTTAGCTTTGTGAATTGAGCTTACATCGATTACAAAGAATCAAGAGTTGACTCTAAACTCTGCAAAATGCCAACATGTGCTCTGGTCATGAAGGTGTGACATAGTCCCAGTAAGGCTGGGTTCACACCTGGGCGTATTTTTTCTGCTGGTTTTTCAGCGCGTTTCACTGGCGGTATGATTTTTTATTTTTCAAAAAAAAATTTTCACTTTCAAACTTCCCGCCGGCTCCGCCCCCCCTGCGACGTGGCCGCTCGCAAGGGACGGAACCCGGAAGTCAGCAGCCACCGGAGGATACAGCGGGGATCGCGGACAAGGTAAGCCCTGTACGCTTTATTCCCGAGTGTGGCTCGGGGTTACCGCTTTGTTACCGCTGAAATACGCCCAGGTGGGAACCATGCCCATAGGCAATTATTGGTTTTCACATTTTGAGCGTTTTATAGCGGGTAGCAAAGCGCTGTAAAACACATAGGGGTGAACCAAGCCTTATGGAAAGGTTTTAGGGATTCAGTCGTGATTGAGTTTAAAGTGAACCTGTTGCTGATTAAAAAATAATCACAATCTGCAAAAGAAGAGTATTTATACTTACTCACTCCACCATCCATTCATAAAATCATCACCCAGCTGACCCTAACTTCAGCATGTCATCACATCATGCCTGTGTCCCTGCTGCAGTGCTGTAGTTTAACTAGCTTGCCCCAACATCACTAGTGTGTCCCAAGTGTCAATAAAAAAATCTGACAGCTATTACTGCAATATGCAGGGGGTAGGGTATGGTGATAACTTCCTGTAAGGTGTTATAGTAGCAGAGGTGTCCCCTGGCTGGAAGTCACCCGGGATCGGCCACTGGGACATTGTCACGCGTGCTTAAATGCTGGCGGCCATCTTGGTGGATGGCTGCAGAGAGGGGAGGGGACATTCATCCGGCGGGAGAAGGTATGCCCCTGGGTCCCCTCCTCTCTTGTGCAGCTGTTGGGCTCTCGATCCATGAACGAGTGCCTGACTTTTCACAGGGGGTGACATCAAAATGAATGTCAGTCACCCCCTCTGACGGTGTCACCAGGTGCGTGCCGAACCCCCACTTGTGACGCCACTGTGTAGTAGATCACCTGCACTCCATACGGCATTATATCCGTGCACAGTAGTGGTACAGTTGTACAACATGAGATACAGACTTATATAGTGAAGTACAAACTAGAGAGACCAGGTACCACCACTATGACTGCACTATGACGTCCTGTCCCACCACAATTCAAACAGAAATGTATTACAGATCGAAAAGCAACAAACAATTACCCATGTGTGTCAAATATGAAAACGCTTAAGATTCAAATGATTTAATTGTTACAAGCAAAAGAACATTTGTCACAGATTTTGGGGGGCTGGTGGGTGCAGGGTGTGAAGCTGCCCCTGTTGTCAGCTGTTGCAGCATCACCCATTCTCAGAGCAATACAGTAGCGTGGCAGGAGAGAGGCACTGTGGTTCTGTACGTCCCCATGTACGGGTATTTGAGCCTACTGCATGTCAGGATCAGCCAGAGCTCACCCATCAACGTCATCAATTGCTAGTCAGCAGGCAGGTAAGCGGGCGGTGCTGGGCAGTCCCAAAAGGTGGTCGAATTAGATGATGCATGTGACACATGTTTAATTAAGAAGTACCTGTCATACAAAATCACACTACCTACTAGCAATTTGTTTCCAGGTTATTTCCACTTAGTTATATTCCTCCCCACATAATTTTGCAAACTTTTATTCTTCACTAGAAAGGTTGAACTATTGTTAGGAATGTATTCATTCATGAATGATTAAATAGAACTTAGTCTGTCATTAAATATCTTCATTCAAATAAAAATGTTCAGTTAATCACCGAGGTGCTGACATAATTAAAATAAATGTATCACCATACAGAATTAGGCTACGTGGTTTGGATCTCTGTATCATTCTAGTCTGCTCCTAATAAAACATGTACCCCAAAGGTGAAATATCTGGATCTCGGCAACTCCAAGGCTTAGCAGAGGGTGGTTCTGGCTTACCTTGCTTGTGACCCCCACTCCTTCCTCTTCATTATCTTCCTCCTCTATGATATGGTCTTGAGATGATTGGCCACCAAATAAAAAATGTTTAAAGGAAACGTGTGTTGGCTGCAGCAACCAGTCATTTTTCATCTTCCATTGGCAAGCTTCCATTAGAGAATGGCAGGTAGACAAGTTGCTATGGACATCACAGGCAGTGCGCATGCACTTTATGTGTGACACAGGCAATTTTATCATATGACTTTGAAACTCCTTTATCCTGTGCATATTTTTAAAGTGAAACTTCAACCAAAACTTTTTTCTATATAGGCCCACACCAGGAACCCACCTAGTCTAACATGCGTTGTGTTTTTATAGGGAGGGGTTTTGTTCATGTTGGGGAGGGGGGCATATGTGTGCACATTTGGTAAACAATGGATATATTTATTTTCACGAAATAAATTGACTTTTTATACTTTTTGCCAGTTTTGTTTGAAGAATATTCATTTGATCATATGGTTTCTTAGCCGATCTCTGATGTGTAGCCAAGTGGGAACTTGTTGTTTCTTCCATAAAGAATTAGACTTTCCAGCGGTCTGTGTCCGCATTGAAGAGACCTCCCCACATCATTTGTGTGGTTACTGGGAATTCGGGTGGGAATGTCTTACTACAAGAATTTCAATACAAGAAGGCAGACATGGTTTAGGTTGACAGGAACCATGCTTAACTTAAATTAACTTTGTTTTAAGTAGAGTTAAGCTTTACATTGTGCTCTTTTTGATAACCCTTCATTCTCTCTTCCATCCCTGTCCTTTTTCTTTTGCTGTTTCCCTTCTATGCTTCTGTCTTGTTTTTGGTTCACTTATAATCTTAGACTGATGAACAGCTCCACGTACAGAAAAGTGTGGGGTAAATCCAATGATGAAGTGGTCTCCAGTCAACCTTCTCATGTTACTGATGAAAGAGAACGCATGAGGATGAGTGGGCGTTACATCAGAAGGTAAAAACATCCAAACAAAGCAGCTCAAGGAAACCCAGCTAATTTCAATGAATTGAAGGTTCTACTTTCTTTTTTTTAGCCTCATCCCATGTTCCATCACCATCAATAACCCGATAGAAACAGTCACGTAATAAGCTGGAGTTCTCTACTTCCTGGGGACATGTCCTTTAAAGGTTTCAATTAATCAGTTGAGGGGCTAAGCACCCAGCTAGTATACAGAACTATCATCACTATCATCAAGGCTTTGACACCTTTAATTCATCAAGACCATGCCTTGTCTCACCTGTTCTGCATGCCATGTCTCAGGGATGCTCTCTTAAGGTGCCCATACACTGCACGATTATCGTACGATAATCGTATGCGATCGGTTTTTCGTACGATAATCGAGCAGTGTGAACGGAGACGTGCGACCGTTTCTACTGTACGGTCGCACGTCTTCTGTCGAACCAGCATGTTCGAAAACCAGCCGGGAATCGTACGATTCTTGGCTGGTTAGAACGGTGCTCGGAAGACAAATGCCGAGCGGGCCGGTGTGCGCACGCGCACACTGCCCGTTCAGCATTGCGGTCATCGGAAGCCCGCCCCTCGGGGGGGTGGGCTTGCGATGATCGAGAGTGCGATCTGCCTGTCCAAGATAGGCAGATCGTACGTTTTTTTAATCCCTGTACAACCATCGCAAGACTAAAGTCTTGCGATGGTTGTAGAGTGTATGGCCACCTTTACACTGCACCAGTCTCACAATGCTGATTACCTTTTCCTGCAGAATAACGAAAGATCCTCGTGAAGATGAAATGGAGGAAAATTTAAATCAAGTTGGGAGCATTCTAGGCAATCTCCGTAGCATGGCTCTGGATGTTGGGAATGAGATCGACACTCAGAACAAACAAGTTGACAAAATCATGGAGAAGGTTAGTAAGAGACGTTGAGGAGGTTCAAGGGTAGATGTGATAAAGTCTTTATGGTTTGAGTAGCTTACATGTAACAAATGGACAGGGCTGACACCACTCAGTCCACAAAAATGCTGTGTGCTGTCAGCTCACAATAGGAATTAGGAGCTGAGTGCATTTCTGCCATTAATAAACAATACTTTTCTGTACTTGCAGGGTCTTTAACTTGAGGAAATGTGCATGTATCTGCAAATGTTTCTTTATTTTACATTTAACCCAGACACGCACTTTAATGGTTCTTTTCATTTTTTTTTTATTTCCTCTCAGAAATGAAAGAGGAAATGTGATTAGATTTCCTGTTATTGATTAGGCATAGTAGTTTTGGGTGAAATAACTTTCTGTGTCAATTCAGAATAGAAATAGTAACAATATAAAAAATATTCCCACACTGAAACAAACAATACGGCCACTTTATTGCAGCTTGCACACGCATTTTGCGGATGGATTCTTTCAATGTGCGAGTGTGTGTATCAAGGCGTGGACGAGCTCGGTTGGCGGACACTCCCCTTTCCCTGCTGTCTGGAAGTGAGGGACCAATGTTAAAATGTTATGCACTCTTCTAAAAAATATGGTTATCATAAAATAATTTTTAACCCTTACACCCTTAGGCTAACCAAAATAATTTGTAAAAGTGTAGGAACTTCCTATACGCTTCAGCACCATCTAGTGGTGCTAGTGCCGTACGAACAGCATCCACCCGGCTATTGACCAGGCAGAATTTTTATAAATTAACCCCCTAACTAAACATAACCCAAATGGAGGGGTGCTTTACTAGTTGACTCAGGGAGGAGGTTTCATGAGTATGTAAGGTCAACTGTGGATTTTACGTAGTCACAGAGTGTGCAGGAAATTACAGGGTTTGATTATCCATCCCCTATAATGTAATGTACCTACAAGGACCAATTTAATTGTCACTATTCTGAACTTTATGCAGCTCTAGGCTATAAAGTTGGAAATCTAAATAGCAGGCACCAAATTCCCTGATTTTTTACTTGTACTTGAAAAAGTTGGCATTAGCTACAGGAATTACATTTTTGTACATTGTTTTAATATGCTCTACGAAGCTATGATCAAGACCCACAAATAACAGACTTGCTTTAAAAAGTGCAAGAACTCCAGCATCTCCAGTGCAAAAACTTGTCTTCTTCCTTACAGGTTGTAGTGAATGAAGATCGAATAAAGGAGGCCAATACTAAAGCCAAAAAGATCCTTAAGAGCGTCTGAGACTTTTTTGCAGTAGCATTCCGATCTGTGATGAGTAGGTCTCTCTTTTTTCCGACCCCACTTTTTTGTCTGGGTCCCTCTGGGGGTGCCTTTATATTGTACAGTAATGAATCCTAATATGAGGGCCGTGATTGCTCGAAGATGAAGTATAAACCTATTGCTTGTGCCTTGTGTGTAGGAAGTGAAACTCAGTCATGCATTAAAAATGATGGAAAGGAAAATTGTATTTACCATTGCAAATGTTCTGATACAAGCTGTCATTTTAGGTTAGAAAGTTAATGTAGAACTCCAGGCAGATATAAAACACAAATTAATGGAGCACTGTATTCATTAATAGATCATTAAATGTATTTTTTGAATGCAAGCAGGTAAGTACCTGAATAGGACTTTGAGGATCCTCTTGCAGTTTACTCTATGGCAGAGCTCAGACTGGGGGAGGGAGGAGCAGCAAAAGGAACCAGTTGGTTGTGCCATAGTGCCAGGGAGCCAACAAGGTTCCCTTATATCCTTTTCATCTGTGTATTTAACAGTTTGCTTGGAGTTCAGATTTAAACATTACTTGTCACTTACATTTAATTCACTGATCTATTCAATATATGTCATGACATTTTTAATACATTAGTCAGCACTGGGAGATCTCTGGTAGTTGTGCTGCATAGTGAGAGCCCCATAAGATGCTGACTGGTCCCAATGACGATAGCAGACATTTTCCTCTCCGTCATTTTTTTATGCATGAAGCCTTAATAGTTTTATCTTTATTGTGGGATGTATTCATTGCATACACTGTGTTCCAGATTTGTACAATGCATGCACTAATCTTTTCTATTTTAACACAACATAAAATGTTGATTTCACAAATACTGTTCTCTGACTTGTCATTCTACTCTGTATGGTTATAGCACATAGTAATAAAGCAGTGCACCTCTTCAGCTATTGCAGAAGGGTTTGGGAGGCTACTGCAGGTATGTGCACCTCTAGATACTTGCACTTCATACCTGCAACAGCCCTCAGCCTACTATTCTAAAAGAACTCCAGTCCCACCTGTTTCTGTTCCATCTGATTTTGCCTCTGATGCTTGGTAGAGAACTGTGCTGTTGTTATATTTTCTCTGCCCCCTCGCTCTACATTTTCATTTAAGGGTATTGCAGCAGGTACACTTCTTGTCTGTAGATGCTCAGTATATCACTCAATCTAGGACTGTCTTAGACACACCCCCTGGGTTTCAGGGGGTGTCGATCAGTACTGCAGTGCCCTGTGCGGTGCACACAACTTCCATAAAGCCAGTTTCATCTGGATGAGAAAGAGTGAAAGTGGCCACCCACAGCTCAAATTGTAGCCAATTCAGCAGGAATCGGACAACATTTGAGCTGTGGGTGGCCTGCCAGCACCACCCAAGTCTACAAAAGGCAAGTTTTAAATTGACATTTGTCCACGGAACCTGGTGGAAAATGATTGGCCAGATGCAGTCACTGTTTGGGTATTCAGCAGTTACAGTTGCAGCAACCAATGGATTCCTCTATTCATGCTGAGGAATCTAATGATGAATTTAACAATGTGTGGCTAGCCTTACTACAAAGTCATGCTCCTGTGCACTCTGACTCCTAGGACTCAGGAACCGCAGCCAACAGTGTACAGTAATTTGTAGTTCTCTATGTGTGACTGCAGAGATATTTCCCAGTAAGCAGACCTGATTTGCTGTGTTCCCTATTGTAATAGAAGATAAGGAGAAGAAGTCACCAGCACTCAATACTTAAAGATGCAAAAGTACTCTCAATTTATGAATAATACGTCACATTAGGCAAACAGACTTTGGCCTTGTTGGCTTATTTGACTAATGTGTCATATTATTAACAAATTGAGAGTACTTTTGCATCGTTAAGTACTGAGTGCTGGTGACTTCTTCTCATTACCTTCTGTGGAATTACACGGCACCATCAGTGACTAACTATGAGCACCACCACTCAACTTGGTTGCAGCACTGCATGAAGTGCAGATGGCATCTGACCTTTCCCCTAGTGTATTAAGTGAAAAAGTGTGCTATAGCATCCAGCAGTAAAGTCCCTTATGCAGTGAAATGTGAGTCTAGATTACAAGCACATATAACACACGGCATCTGTTTTACTGTCTTGCGCTGTTCACATTTAGGTGCAGCTGTGTATATTAGTGTAGACAGGCATGATGTCTGCTAAATGTCAATGACTCCTCCCAACAGTCAGTGCATAGCAATCTGAAAACCTCAGATAAATGTTAAAAGAGAAAAGAAATCTGCATAGCATACAGGGGGACATATAAAAAAATTACATTCTGGAAAAGGGAGTTCTGCTTTAAAGGATGAGTGACTTACACACAAAGTGCATTTCCCCTTTTTGTAAAGGACAAACCGTTTTTAAAGGCTATGATTAAAGCAGAACTTCAGAATGTCCACTTTTCGTGCCACCTTGCCTCCTAAGTCAGGACGGGACCAGAAACACAAGAAAATATTCTGTGTGAAAGAGAAGACCATAGCAGTGAGGTATTGTCTTGGGTAGCATCTGGTATACAGTATGCCTACAGGCTCCAATGATGGAAATCAAGCTCTGGGGTCCCGAACCATCTATTCAAAGTACACAATAATAGGCATATGCATTTGAATGCAAAATGATGTCATTGCAGGGATTAGGTTTACCCATGCTCATCAGCGCCATCTAATAGCCAAAAAGCAGTAGTGCGTTACATATATTCAGCCTGAAAAATAAATAAATAAAGAACATTAATTTTTGTGCTATTCACATAGAACAAATGTTCAGTAAGATCCATAGGGCAAATGGCTCTGTGAATTGGTTATAAAGAGACCCCTAAGTGTAAAATGTGTCATGGCTCTTTGTTGTCAATGATGAACTGTTCAGAGGTTTATTTTCAAAGAAAGCACTTATCAGTGGCGGACCTAGGGAACAAAGGGTCCTGGAGCAAGATTTTTTTTCGGGCCCCCCAAAATACAAAAACAAAACACAGACCCCCCAACCCACATCCCCTGTAGCAACCACACAAAAAAAAAGTTGGAAAAATAGCATTGCTGTATAAAGTACTGCTGAGATTTGTAGTCCTCTATAGAGGGTCCCTTTCTGCATTGCTGCAATGCAGAATGGGACCTGCTATATAGCACTTAAAATACCAGCAGTATTTTATACAGCATGTCCATCAGTTGGGCTACAAAAAATTATTATTTTATTTTATAACTTACTTTCACCTCTTCTGCCTGTTTTCTGGTGGGGGAGGATGCAGAAAAACGTGTGTGTGTCAGACAGCGTGCCCGTGTACACAGGCGGCTGTTTGCTGGGTCCTCACGGCCGAGGCCCAGGGCTGCCCCCTGAAGTGCCTGCCGGCTTTTTTATTCTCGGCTCCCTCCTCAGTATCCAGCGGCCGACGGACCCCCTCATCTCTGCGACGGGAGTGTGGATCATCCGGGATCATAACTATCCGGCAGCCAGACACCGGCGGGCCCCCCCATCTCTGCCCCGTGGCTTTGTTACATTGGATACTGGGCCCCCCTATAGGCTCAGGCCCTGGTGCAGCCGCAGCGGCTGCACCGGCAATAGGTCCGCCCCTGTCATTGAGCACCTTGGACCTGCTTCTTATGTTGTGAACTTGATATGTTGTGACATGGCAAATTCTGGGAGACCAGAGTTACCTTTGCAGGATTGGATGGAGAAGTCAACCTCCAGTGTGGTGGTAGCTTTCCTTATGTTTGAGATCCTGATAGGGAGCTCAGCTTTTCCATTCAGCTGCCTGTGCTAGCTTCCGGTGAGCCATCTTTATAAATTGTGAACTATGTATGAGCCATCTTTGTAAAAAAACAAAGCACACTGATATTTAGCACACTCATATTTTTAATTCAGAAACATTCTTCAGCAGATTCTTTAGGCAATCTGTTCTTCTAGAGTCACTTCTTTGGTAGAGATGCCATAACTATATAATAGAGACCCAGGCTACACCCTGCAATATAAAGAGAAAATCTTTCACCACGTGCAACTTAAAAAGAGCATATTCGTAACAAGCAGTAAATGAGCTTAACACAAGCCAGCATTGACCTCTTTAGTTGCGTGCACTAAGAAGTAATTCATTTTCAAACATCCTCAAAGATTACAACAAGGACACTTAAGTTAGTTTTAGTCACTTTTTAACAACGTATGGCACCTGCTGTTTGTGTACATTAGAAGTCTAAGTGTTACAACACACAACAGGAGGATCTCCATTGTTTTCAATGGCCCCCAGTTTACATCTGAGCATTCTGTTGCTTGTAGCAAAAAACATTTTAGCTTAAAAAGGATATGACCTTTTTTTGAAGGGGCAGAATTGTGCTTTTTTGTCCCCGTTGATTTCAGTGGAAACGCCTGAAAAACGTTATGCTCTTTTTTCATGCGTTTTCTTGCCTAGTACCTATAACTTTTTATTGCCTAAGAATAATTTTAAAAAATAAGCCTGAAATGTATGGAAAAACACATAAACAAATACTCAAAAAAAAACTCCACAAAAAATCAGCCAGAGACACAGCTCAAGTGGGAACGGGGCCTAAGAAGAAATAATCTGTATTATCAGTACTTCTGTTGTGAAATTGGAAAAAACATTTCTACACAGTGCATATGGCTACAGAGGTGAATGAAGAATTGCTTTACAGTACGTTTACGGGTTGTCCAGTACATGTAAATATTTTAGTTTGCATTGCATGGACACAGGTTCTACATACAAGAAATAGTGGATAAGTGGATATAGTCGAGGAGAATTAGAGTCTTTCTAAGATTTGTACTATTGCCTGTGCCCAGATTTGGAAGATTTACCCCAGCCACTGTTGTGGTGATTGGTTTTCCTCTGGGACAGGAAGTAGGAAGTCACTTCCTATCAACAATAATAATAAACACTTTTTATGTATCAGGGGAAGGGTTAGAATGTCTCCAAAGTTTTTATAGTGTTCTTGGTCCTTAGAGGCGATTTTACCTCACTTCCCCTATGAGTGACTGGTGCTATTTTTGGTCATAAAGGGGTCACACAGCTGTGAAATCCTGAAGGAGCCTCTAACCCTGTCCTATTGTATCAAAGTACAAAAAGTAAGTTTTGGGTAGACTTCTACTTTACATTGTAATAAACCATAATTACAATTGCAATTTTGTCAGGGGTATATCTAGAGCAACAAAAGGCTATGTAAGTCATTAAAATGTATGGCCTTGGGAATATGTGTTCACATGGAACATAGTAAACCATGGCTCCCAGCTG